TCTGTCTCTCTGAGACCAGTTTACCATAGAGTCATTTTGTGATGTCAACAGGAAGTGATGTCATTCTGTCATCGCAGCGTCAGATGCGAGTGTGGGAGTGTTGTGTTAACGTGGACTCGTCTTGTCTCTAGGAGCTGAAGTGGAGCCTGAGCCCACAGACTCCCGTGTCCTGGCTCAATGTTTACATGCAGGTGGCGTACCTGAAGGACACGGACGAGCTCCTCCTCCCCAGATACCCACAGCCCACCTTCACGCACATCGCAGAGGTACGCCGTCTGTTACCGTAAATGAATTGTGCCGATGTGCTCGGAGACGAGCGTCTCTCGCTGAGGTGGGACCGTCTGTCTCCCGCCGAGTGTCTCTGATGGTGCGTCTGCTTTCAGTTGTTGGACCTGTGCATGCTGGACGTGCGCTGCCTCGAGTTTTCTAACGGCGTGCTCGCTGCTTCGGCGCTCTTTCACTTCTCGTCCCTGGAGCTGGTGGAGAACGTGTCAGGTAAAAAATCATGTTCCACACTTCCTGTTTGTCCCTGCTGGTGTGACTCCACCCCGACTCACCTCCTCCTCCTTCTGTCCGTGCAGCTCTGAAGAGGGTGGAGGTGGAGGAGTGCGTGAGGTGGATGGTGCCGTTTGCGATGGCGCTGCGAGAGGTCGGCAGCTCGCCGATGAAGACGTTCCCGGGAATCTCTGCGGATGACATGCACAACATCCAGACACACGCCCCCTACGCGACCTGGCTGGTAGGTCCAACAGCTGTGTGCGTTTGTTTATTTCCCCTCACAGTCACCGGTTTGTAACTTTATTGGTAAGTTTATCGCTCCGGGTACAATCGGCTGTTTTCGACTATTTCACCTTTAAAACGGTTTCTCGCCTTGTTTGGTTTCGTTCTCTCAGGACAACCTCACACGTCTCAGGTTACTTAGTTTTTTATTTTGAGCTCGTATCAACACAACTGATCTGAAATTAGACAAACGTAAAATCAGAGTTTTAGTTTTTACTGTAACAAACACAAACATGTTTAAAGAATAATTTTCACAACTTGAAATGCAAATATAAATCGTAAGTTTTAAAAACTATGCACAAGTTTTGCAAACAAAGTTTTTTGCAGCTTTTTACCTAAAAATGCAGCCAAGCAGCTTTTTAATAACCATTTTGAAAGTATTTACAGAACAATCAGCTGTTCTGCATCAAATAAGAGTCACACAAATTATTTGTGCCGCTTCAAAAAGACAGAGGAGCTCGTCCCAGCCTGACAGCAGCAGGTGTCAGGACGGCGTTTACACTGACCTGTGGCTCTTTGGCAGCAGCTGTGACGGGGGTGGGGGCACACAGTATCCCACATTGTTGATGTTTAGTTCACAAACACTTCTTATAACGATGAACTCGTCCTGAAACTTTGGAGCTTTTAGCTCTTTATACAGTAAAGTTACAGGAGGATAAAAATAATCATCGTTTGTTAAAATAACGTCTGACGTGCGAGCAATAAATATGGACACTGAATGCTAACATAACAACTCATTTTTCACAAATCTAAAACGTCACTACTTCACATCTAGCTGTCTGTAAGGGAGGCGGAGTAAACTGGATCCCCACTCTGTGCCCGGTGGGTGCTCGCGGCGCGGGGGAGGGGTTTGTTGGTGGTGCCGACTTCGGCTCAACACCTGGTTTGGCAGCACGTAGCGAGGCTCCAGATGCTCTGTGTGACCGGCTGAAGTCACTTCCTGCGTCACATGTTGCATGTTTTGTGATTTTAAAGGCAGTCAGGATCAGACCGATGCTGTACATCGGATCGGTCCATCCATGTCCACAACGCTACACGCTGACTTTAGATGTGTGACGACGCTCGACGTCACACATCTCAAACCTCTCTCGCTCTCCCACCCCTTTACTAAACAACCAAATGCCAGGATGCTATATCATTGTTTGATTGGTCGACATGGTACATCTTTTCCACCAATAGGAAAGGGGAGTGTGCTTACTAGCGGGAAACACCCTCCCCTTTCTTCCTGCTGTAGACGCCACAGTTTCATTCAGAAATTTTTTTTTATCATCTCTGGATCTACGTGGCCTCTCAACATAAGATACTTAGTCCCACAAGAGGAAGTTTAAAAACTTGTCTATCGATCACTGCATCTCCATGTCGTCTTACATTGGTCATGTGATTAGGACACGCCCACGTGTGCGTTGACCCCCAAAGCGAAATTCAGACAGAATAATTTCGTAAAAATGATGAACGACGGCAGAAAAACGTGAAACGCTGCCACCTCTGGTTGAACGAGCTCGAAGCAGAAGAACTCCGTCGCCGCGGCGATGACGGATCGGCGCTTTAATGGTTGAAAAAATGACATTAAAGTTTTTGTGTGAACATTTGAAGACAGGATCCAGAAAACTGCTGATTCTGGATAGTTTCCGTTTCCTCCTGAGAACCGAGGAAGACTTAAGTCTTAAGTTCAGGTGGTAGAGGGCGGAGTTATGTAGACTCCCGGGCGTGTCCCGCAGGTCGATGGGGACAGTAAATGTGAAAAGGTCCAAACGTGTGCTTTTTCACACGCGTGTTCCTGCTGTGTTACAGGAAAAGGCGTACTCCTACCAGGAGGTGGAGCTGCAGTGTCACGGCGGCTGCCCCGTCCCCTCGGGCGTCCTGACTCCGCCCCTGAGCAGCGAGAAGACCGAAGAGCCGGATCGAGGCGAGGCCACCGTGGTTAAGATCAGAGCCAGCATGGAGTCTCCGCCCCCCCAGTAGCAGAGCGCCGCTGACGCCGGCGGGACGGGAAAGCTCGGCGTGTTGGATTTGAGTTTCAGCGGAGATTAAATTTTTAATTCCAGGGAGGAAACGGTATTTTGTCCTCTGTGGGCGCAGCGAGGAGACGCGTCGCCGCCATGGGAACGTGCTTAAGCTCCGGTCTGAGCGCGAGCAGAGGAGACTTTGTTTTCATGCTTTTTATTAGTGGTGCTGCTGAACGCTCGCATCACGTCCAACCACGCCTTCATTTTCTATGCAGAGGCCAAACTGAGGAGA